TTTCTATTTTTTGCTAATAAACTGTCTATTAAACGAATTAAATTATAATTAATACGGAACATCGATAAAATATTCGGAATAAATTATTTCAGTCGCTTAAATCATAGATTTGCCAAAATTTTGTTACTAATAGTTTTTTCCTTTTACGAGCTACTATATGCTCGTTTAAATACTCAATTGGTACTAATAAAACAAGAAATATTGATATAATTTACAATTAGTTCGTAGAACTATTCAGCAGCCAAATTTAACGGCGCTGATATTAAAATATATAAATCTTGTCAATTCCTCTGTTCTGATACACAAGTTGAAGCATATAAAGAAATTACTCAGAATTATCAAACTATTATGGTAATTATAGATATAAATAGCTTAAACCTTTGATTTTGAATGATACGATCAAGTTAGAATATTTTGAAAGAATTAAATAAAAATGTAAATATAAGCGTAAAAAATATGTAAAGATTAATTTTTAATTCTACATTCAAATGCTGGCTCAGAGATGAGTTTAATTTGAAAACATTGCTATAAATAGTACAGAAATAATAAATTATGTTTTCTACATTTGCAAGCATCCGTAATTTTTGTTGAACCAGTCCCACGGAAAGGTAGCTTCTTATGTTAAGAAATATCATGAAATCTTGATTTAAGATCCTAAAGATTACGGTTAATTTGTTGGCTTATCAAAATTGTTGTTATCTCACTATTTTCTTTATAATGCTAAAATATTCACCGCTGTTTTAAATAACTGGTTGGCTTAGATAATATTATTTTGTCTAAGATCTTAATCGGAGCATTTTTAAAAATCGGCCCAAATCGAGCTGTTTAGCAACACTGCACAATAATTACCAAATTTTATAAAAATTTAATAAGAACCTTTTTTATTTTAATAAATATTTACGAATCGGTATCAATCTGTTTCCTTAGATTTGATATATATATATATATATATATAAATGTTAGCGGCAATGTGAAATATTCGGCAATGTGAGGTAGTGGTAGGCAGGGTAATTTTGTTCAGGTATTTTACAAATTAATAAATTTTTTAATTATTTGAGATTAATTTATTATTATTTAATATTAATTTATTATTATAAATTTATTTTCTATTTTTTTTTAAAATATATTTTAATTTGTTACAATATATTTTTTGATTGATATTTTTTTTTAATATATATTTTTTTTTGCGAAAAAATCCTTCTTCGGTCTCATTTGATTGATTTATTAGACGCCGAATTAATGGTAAAGGAGAATTTTGACATGAATTGCGAAGAGTTAAAATTTATTTTCATATACTTTTAAATATAATAAATTCCTTCGGATAAATATGTAGATTTGGATCTAATTTTTATATATTTTGACTTTATAAATATGGGTAATATTCAAATTTAAATTTATAAATTATAATTTGAAAAAAATTATTCACCAATATTTATATATAAAAGGATTGCAGTTGTCGCGCTTTCCCGCTTTTTATCCTTTTAGTCATTAAAAATCCCACCTCACTCTTAGAATATGGGAGGTATGGCCGGGCCTAAAAACTTTTTGCAATTTAAAAAATGAGAAATAGATTAAGACGCCTATTTAATCTATAATTAAAATATAGCCACTTTTTATAATTATTTTTTATTATCCTTTATTTATATACTCTTCTCAAAATTTAGAAAATGTTTTTAACTTCACCCTTGTCGTGGTAAAATATGTAAGAGTAAATAAAAAACACTCCATTTTGCCCTGGTTTCTAGATATTGGAATATCTTTATTTTCTTGATTTGGAACATTTTCTATTTATTTTCAAAAAATCCTGATTTTTTTTAATTCCATTTTATTAGAAAAAATGAGTAAAAGTGCTTACAAATTGAGTAGAAGCGTTTAGCGGTGTTTCTATAAAAACGCTGTGATTTAAATTGAACTGGTATTATTTTAAAAAATGATGAAAACTATTTTACGTTTTTTAATTTTTATATTGTTATAGTTAGACTTGTGAAATGAGCAAAAATAAAAAACTAAAATAACTGAAGATCTAATGGTTTATTTCATAAATATTACAAATTTATGTATCCAATAGAATATTTTGAATTTTTTTTTTGATTAATCATAACTTTGCAGTTATTTTTATTTATTAAAATGCGATTAGAAGAAAAAGGAGAGGTCAAAACAAATGAATTAGTTACTTTAATATCAGAAAGTTATATCGATGTGCATTATCTAAAAATTGTAATTAGGAGGCATTAATTATCAGTAAAATCTTCTATAATTTGTAAAAATAATCTGAGAAAATAAATAAATTCTTAACTTTCAGTATATTTTTTTATCTAGATTGGAAAATACGTATTTCATTTACTTTAAATGACATAAAGCACACTTTAAAATTTTATGTTGGGGGGGGTTAACTTATTCTGGTAAAAACTTAACCCAAAATGTCCTCTCCATACTTACAACCATGAGTGAGTGAGACCAGAAAGATTAATATATTTTCTATCACATCAGATAGAGGTTACATGCTTATTAAAAACAATACGTAATAAAATATTCTTAAAACATTCGCGTTTATGATTTAAGAAACTTCAGTTGGTAAATTGATATTGAATATATCAATTTCACTTAAAATGAATTCGCAATTTTCGCGGTCATGCGCTCGCTATAATAATTTCGCGGTAGAAAATTCGCTATAAATGGTTCGCGATTAAAGTTTCGCTATAACGAGTTCGCGATCAAAGTTTCGCTAAAATGTATCTCTAAAGTATTCGCGGTTTAGGTTTCGCGGAAATAAATTCGCGATCAAAGATTCGCCAAAATGTATTCGCTATAAAGTATTCACGGTTAAAGTTTCGCAAAAATAAATTCGCTATAAAGAGTTCGCGATAAAAGCTTCGCTAAAATGTATTCGCCAATTAGGTTTCGCGGAAATAAATTTGCTATAACGAGTTAACTAGAATGTTTTCGCTATAAAGTATTCGCGGTTAAGGTTTCGCGAAAATAAATTCGCGATATGCTATAAATGTTTCGCGGAAAAAATTCGCGGAATTGGTTTCGCGATATTACCTTCGCTATAAAATTCCTTCGCGATAAACGACATTCGCGATAAAAGTTTCGCGAAAGTGTTTCGCGATAAAAGTTTCGCTGAATTGACCTGATACGTAAAAATCGGCTAAGCCTAAAAATTGGCTAAGACTAAAAATGGGCTAAGCCTAAAAATTGGCTAAAATAAATTAGTAAAAAATTCTGCATCGATGCCTAGCATTAATTATTATTTATTTATTTTATTAAAACAATTTATTTTATTTATATTTAATGTAAATCTTTTATTATTATTATCAACAAATAAACATGTTATGATTTAATATATTTTATTTATAATTGTTATATTTTGAAATGAAAATAAATTTATTTATTTGATGTTTTTTTAACAAAAAAGTAATATGCTGCTATTGTAAAAATGTAATATTCTTTTTAATAATTTATTAGTGATTTTCACAATCTTCTTTGTAAATACATCTTTTATTGAGGAATTATATTGTAAATTTTATTAGATAAAAAACATGGGCGTCGTTAGCCTTTACAATCTCAGGGGGCTCAACTAAAAAAATTTCTATTGGGGGCGAAGCCCCCCATTTGCGGGTGTCATTTATTATATTATGCGATCATCCCGATCCGATGAAAAATATCGGTAATATCGGTACATTCCTGCTAATAATTTTTTTTTACCTTTTATATTATAAGAATAATTAGAATTTATTATAGTTTTTTAAAATACCAAGAAATTAATTAAAAATGTATTAATATAGTGAGCATGTGTTATTGAATGATTAATCAATTTTAAAATTTTTATTTATTTTATTGATTGAAACTCATTTATTGTTATTCATATTTACAAGTAAGTCTATGCTGATTTTAGAAAATCTCATCCAATTGTGTTATTTTATGATGATAATACTTTTATTTTGTATATAATTTCATAATAATAATAAATTAATATTTGTAATATTTTAAAAATATCAAATTATTTTAAAAAATTGAGTAGCCAAAATTTTGATATTATTTTTGGCGTCATATATGAAATGCACAAGATTTCATATATTCAAGAACTTGAAGCTTGTTTGAATATATTTTATTAATATTCATTAAATATATGTTATATGGGCAAATAAATTGAATTTCTTTTATCGATAGATAATTTCTATAATTGAATGAAAGTCCCATTTATTGTTATTTTCACTTGCAAGATGAATAATACTTTAAATTATATCAAATAGTTCCAAAAAAAACCATTAAAAACTGATTTAAATAATTTTATTCAAAGACGACCCCTTTCGGGAATATAATATACACTTTTCTAAACATTTTTAACGATTTTGAGAATGAAGTTGGCCGCGTCCCAGACCAATTTTTTTTATAAATATAAAGGAAGAGTTTAGTAATGTCTACTAAATTTTTTTAAAAATTGAAGGTCGTATTATTTCCAAAAAATCGTTTTTAGTCCTTATATATTACATAAAATGGCCGGAAATTGGTAATTCTTTTTTATCTAGTAGTTATTAAGATATGCTTAATTGAATGAAGGCAGATAATGGTAAAAATACGTCAATTTTGCCACTTTGAACCCTAATATCTTCAAAAATATAAATGTTAGGAGGCTAAAATTTTGGCTATTTCTTAGTTAAATTGACCTTTCTTTGCTTAACAAATTTTAAAAAAATCGAAGGGGGTTGGCCGAATCGTGGTTGATTTGTCATGGAATGACCCATATCTCAATATAAAAGAATATAAGATATTAAATTGAACCCCCTGAGATTATAATAGCTAATGATGCTACTGAGCCCTATTATTTAACGATCAGTTCCGGGAGATATTTCGGTAACTATTATTTTATTAAATTTGAGATCATTTCGAGCAATGTTGAACACAGATTATATCATAAAATACTACTATATGGAATAATTTGATAACAAAAAGAATATTTTATTGCGTAAAAGTCAGTAAAACATTAGGTATGAGACCTTTTTATTCACGATATCCATGATCTCTTGAATAGCAATAGATATGGAAGCCGGAGTTCCCTCGATCTGAACAAATTCGGGTCCTTTATCGCCTGGGACTTTTATGTTTTCCACCCCGGATATTTGCTTTATTCGATTTACTTGAGGGAACAAATGGTTTTTTTTTTAAAAAAAATCAAATAATATATGAGCTAGTATTCAAAACATTTTAAAAATGTAATTAAAAAGTCAAAAATAGTGGAACTCAAAACGATGAAACATTTTAACGAAATAAATAAAAAATAGCGGTCCATTTTAAAACCTTATTAGTGTATTTTTGAATTTTTATTATACAATACAAATCCCATAAAAAATCAATATTGGGTCATTTTGTGCGTATTAAAATAGTTTCAGGTTACATCTTTCAAATCTTATAAAGTCCTCGTTGGTTATATATTGTCATATAATGTGGATATATGAGGTGGCGAATAGTAAAAGAGAGAAACAAAAACCTTCGATAAAAAATTGAAAAAACATTAATTAAATTTTAGATTTAATTTAAATTTCTTCAATTTGTATTAGTTTTTTATTTTTTGAATACTTAATTTTTACATTTGATTATATATTAAAAATCTTTATTTTAAAATTTATATCGTATTTATATTAATTTTGAAAATATAAGTTATTCTGACTATAAATAATCATAAATTTATATAAAAATATATAATTTATGCATATTAATTAATTAATTAGATTATCATATTTTTATCTTAAGGTATCAATAATATATTATATAATGTAAATCTTTTCTTCTTGGCTTTTATTTCACTTGTATCACAACATATATAAAATCAAGAAAAAAATAAGTATTCAAAAAATAAAAACTAATATAAATTTTTTAAAAAAAGTAAATTAAATCTAAAAATCAATGAATGTTATTTTAATTAATTTTTTTCTTTTTTGTTTCTCTTTTACTATTCGCCACCTTATATATCCACTATATATGATGGGTATGTTATGAGGATTATTTTTGTCGATTTTTTTTGCTCCAGCTCTCTTCATAAAAAAGATTCGTTGCTCAATTTTGCAATACACAGGGTCATTCCATGTCAAATCAATCACTTTTCGGCCGACCCCTTTCGATTTCGATAAAAATTCGTAGGCTGGTCATATATGTTCCCATTAGATTATAAACAAAATTTTAGCGCATTAGAAACTATAGTAGCGCAGATATTCGGGGTTAAAGGTCCAAAAAACGTCTTTTTTTGCTTTTTACTGATGTTAAATAATTAGTTTTTAATTTAAAACTAAATATGATCAAATATTGAATCTAATATCAATAGCCAAGTTAATAATTGATGATTATGGCGAAAACATCAAAATTAATTTTTGATAAAATATGGGTCATCTTATGGTCAGTTGAAAACTTGAAATTAATATTTCGAAATGTATATGATCTCCGATTTTTAATTTTTTTTTAAGAATTATTATCCGTTTACTATTTTTTTAATAATTTATTCGACAATCAGTATGGCTGGGTATTTATTTAAAAAAATATTGGTATTTAAAAAATAGATGGCGCTATATATAATAGTTTTAATATGTTAAAATTTATTTTTTTATTGATTAAAAATATTTTAATGTATATATATCATACTAAATCGATTACAATGTGCATTATATATATTATTTGTAATTCAGATCATAAATTTTTAAAATCTTCACAAATTTTGCCTAATTAAGATAGTTTATAAATTAATTAAATCTTACTTCATCTAAAGGAATACAAAGCCTGGCTAGCTTGTGAGATTCTTCAGGAGATAATATATATGTTCGACTGGTGGGAGTAGAAGGATTGACCAGCGAGAGAATATGAGATTTAGGCAACACTAAAATATTATCTTTCAGAGGAAATTTAAATGAGGCTGAAGGTCCACAAGGGTGTAAAAATCGGATTTTTACTTCTTCATTTGTATAACTTTTATCGATTATATATCCTAACCACCATTTATCATCATATACACATGTTATATATTCATTAATATTTTAAAATATAATTTTCTCATTTAAAAACGGAACTTGTTTTATATTATATTTTTTGGAATTAGAATATATTTTGGTTTTTAGTTTATTTTGATCAATGGGAATAATCCCGTGAATTTTTTGGATCCCATGTATGGGCATTGCAGAATTAAATCTTTTACGAAGGGCTAATTCCTCTTCGATCCTCTTCGATATATTCTTGATTGGATACATATTCAAATTGAATATTAATAATTTCTTTAGCATAATTATATAATTCTAATGGTTAGGATTTGATTTTTATTTGGCCTTTGAAGACTAGCTCTGGCAACTAATCTTTTGACAGTTCCTCCGATACCGTCACATGCATTTTTGCCGTGAGCAGTGACAAAGAAATGCCATTCGGCAGGAATATTAAAATCGTATTTATGAAGGCATATGTACAGAAAATTTTTGCGATTCTTGTATTGAGACGCGGCTTCATCCGAAAAATATATTATTTTTTATGGTTTAGAATGAAATTTGGCTGTTAAGAATTTAATGAATTTTTTTTGATAAAGGTGGACTGCACTAGTATTATGGCTTAATGATTCGGACAAAATAACAAAATTTATATTTTTTAATTCTTCTCCAGATTTATAATATGCTACAAATGGATGTATAGTGGCCTGCACATTGTTACAATGAAATCCCTGAACTTCATCTTGTAAAATGAAGGAATAATTTTCAGAATAATCTAGAATTGTTAAAAATTCCTCATCTTTTAAATTTTCTTTGGAATTCTTCAAAAATAAACTTTGTGTTTAGCTATAAACGAGTGACGCAGTAAAATTTGAACTTTTTATAATAGATATTCGATGAAACCATCAATGGACTTTATAATAGTTTCAAGATTTGCTCTATCCACCGTGATCCATTGTTTAAACGTGACATATTCTATACGATTTCTCTGAAACAATTCGTATAATAGGACCATAAGAGATTCTATACCAGGGCATTTGATCACAATTTGTTAAATAACATTTTGGCTGAGATGGATTATAAATAATTTGCGCCAAAAGATTGTTATAAGAATTTATACACTAATCTTCTCCTGCTGTAATTTCAGCTATTACATTTGTCATTAATTTCACATTCTGATGAATGGTGCAGACACAAACAGTGTGTGTGCCATCCAACTAAAATTCAGTTTTTTGGTCTAAGTTGGGCAAATTTAGGGAATCCAATTGATATACTTGGGTATTCTTCCTTAAACATCTTGAATATTTCTTTAAGATTATTTAATATAAATCTTTGCTAATTCTTTCTCGCCTTTAACAGATACACAATCTTTTATTCCAGGCATGAGTCGGCTTATTTCATCAGAACTATAATTTTGTTATTTTTATTGCTTAAAAAATTTTTCAAAATCTTTGAAATTTTCTTTATCTCTGGTTATTTTAATAATGTAAGATAATGACAATTTCATAACATTCTTGGTCTTAATGGGTATGACTTAGTCTGGGGAGGGGGTGGATAGGGGGTTGGGGGTAGGCCTGGTAATTAATGCGATTTTCGATTTTTCCCTTAATAATTTTTCTGCACCCCTTTAATCCTGCTTTTTTGTTCGTGTGCTAGTCCGATTTTTTAATTATTTTAATTTACAATGAAATATTAAAAAAATTATTAAAATTTTTTATCCAGCGAATATCTCAGGGGAATAAGGTTTACAAAGTTATATAATCGAATTTTATGATATATTTACATTAAAATATTTTTAATCAATAAAAAAAATGAATTTTAACATATTTAAACTATTATATATAGCGCCATCTATTTTTTTTAAAGTATAAAAATAGCAATATTTTTTTAAATAAATATCCAGCCATGCTAATTGTTAAAGAAATTATTAAAAAAATAGTAAACGGATAATATTTCTTTAAAAAAAATTAAAAATCGGAGATCATATACATTTCGAAATATTAATTTCAAGTTTTCAACTGACCATAAGATGACCCATATTTTAAAAAAAATTATTTTTGATGTTTTCGCCATAATTATCAATTATTAACTTAGCTATTGATATTAGATTCAATATTTGATCATAATTAGTTTTAAATTAAAAACTAATTATTTAACATCAGTAAAAAGGAAAAAAAGGCGTTTTTTGGACCTTTAACTCCGATTATCTCCGTTAATATAGTTGCTAATGCGCTAAAATTTTGTTTATAATCTAATGGAAACATATATAACCAGTCTACAACTTTTTATCAAAATTGAAAGGGGTCGGCCGAAAATCTTGATTTTTTTGCTCATTTGACATGGAATGACCCCACATTTAAAAAAAGATTATTCAAAAAATATAAAAAATATAGACTAATATTTGGTCATAGCCTTTAAGGTCTTCTATTTAAAAAAAAACTAGATAAAAAAAAACGTAGGCCGCTTTCTTGTTCAACTAAATTTTTGTTCTGATTTCTATTATAAAAGCGGTTTCGACACCATTTTTGAGTTTTTTTAAATATAAATCTTGATAATAATGTGATGATATCCTTAAAATAGCTAATTTCTGCTAAAAACAGCTATTTATAGTTTTAATAAGAAAATGAGACATATATTTTTCCAGAGTTTATTAGTGGCGCGCCTTGTAAAAAATTAACTAATAAATCGATTTTATTAGAATATCAACCTGCAAGCCCTCCGAATTTCGGGCTAACCAGCCCCTAGACACAGAACTGGCTATCAGGTTGGAATGTAACAGAGGAACGTCCTAAATTATGTACATTGGGCGCTCAGGTTCCCTTTTGAATTAGCTTAGCACCCATTAAAAAAACATTATTCAATATAGATAGATTTTTTCAAAAAAGAATTTGAATCTAATTTAAAATATATTATTAATAATCTAAAATTGTGGTGTGGTAAGTTATTTTTATAATTATTTTCCTCTTTTGCTACATATAAAAAATTTAATGACCAAAATCAAGATATTATAATATTTTAAAGTTTTTTCCCTGCTGATACTGACTTACAAAAGATAACAATGCTAATTATTTCATTTCTTGTTCTAAATTTTTTTAAAGCTTTAAGTCTTAAAGGATGGAAAAGGTACTTTTATTTACTTGGCATTTATAAGCATAAAAAGTAGAATTTCAAATTTTTTTTATTTATTATACTTCTTTAAAGAACTTTATGAATTTTTAACTAATATGCATAGATGTGGCTTGCGCAAATTTAGGGCTAGCATAATTGCCCTAGATTTTAAGCAAATTTGATATTAAAATTTTCATAAAATACTTCTTAAATTATCTAAAATGGCCCAAATTAATCACCTGTAACAGGTCGATAAAAATACAAAAATCCGTGGCGGATAATAATGTTTTTAATTTTCAGGCCAGATTAGCCTAAAATTTTGAACGCTGCAGGTCATTAATATTAAAGTTTAATAAAATCGACTTATTGATAAATTTTTTGTATGGCGCCATCTAGAATAGACTATTTTATCGGTCAATAATTATTAAAAATAAATCCAAAATGATCCCAACAAAATTTTATTAGCATAAATTTACCCTACTTTTATATAAAAATTTCAGAAATTTCGAACGTCTGGCCAGTATTAAAAAATCGCTTTTTATTTCCGGAGATGATAACATTGAGAAATTTTTATTTTTTAAATATAGGACTTTCAGGGCTATCCAAATATTGGTCATTGTAATTTATATTTTTCATCTTTTATGTGTATATCTTTTATGTGTATTGCTAAATTAAGCAATGCGCCTTCATACATAAATGCTCATATCTCCGGAACTAATAGAATTGCATGAATAAATAATCGTAATAATCTTCATGAAACTAATTTGAGATCATTAATAATAACAATATCGCAATGCAAAAAATGACTAATGTGAGAATTCGAAATCCGAGGTTACATAACTCAAAATTCTAATCTCGGAAATGTAAAAACATGTGATAAAGAGTTAACATTTACTAAGCGATGGAATATATTAACTCAAATAGACCTAGTAAAATTATAAAAATTTTAAAACTGTTTACTCGTAGATCCATTCTTGCCGACAATGTATGAATGTATCTTTGATTCGACAGGAATCTCCTGAAGTCTGAACTTTTCCTTAACCGCCTTTACCATTTTCCCAATCAGCATGAAACAGCTTTGCACGGAGTTGGGAGGTCCCTCGAGGCACACAGAATCACGTTTGAAATCTACATTTACCTAAGCAATACGAATAAGAAAGTATGGATCAAATTTCTTGTTTATCTAAGAGTCATTCATTACAATTACCCACGTAACCTTTAAAAACATTTATAAATAAAAATGTAATATAAAATCTACATCTGGATGAGCATCAAATACGCATTTGAGGTTTTCTTTATTCTTCAAATGCTTGTGGATCCATTTAGGAATCTCGAAGGTTTCTTCAATCATACTTTGCGCCTTATCAAAAATTTCATTAAATCAAAATTAATTTCAATTGTTTTGTAAAAAAGAAAAGTTTAAAATAAAAAAAATTTACAACCTATTTCTTCCAATGACATGAAATGATTTACTACCCTGGCAAATACAATAAAAACTAGATTAATTGAACTCAATTTTGGTTATACTTACAATATAAAATAAGTAAATGATATTATAATTAAATGTCTTTTTTTTGTGAATAATTTTATTTAAAAAACGGCTTCAATTTAGAAATAAAATATAACATAAACGAAATCAAATTGAAATGTATTTTAAAAAAAAAAAAAAAAGAATTGATTAATAATTATATGAAAAAAAATATATATAAAATATATTAAAGAGAATTAAAAAAAAGAGTACATATCCCTCTAGAGAGGAGTAAATTGAAATTGGACCAGAAGATTTCGAGAGAAAAGAAGATAAAATCACTTCTTGGGGTCGCCTGCAATCTGTCTCTGCCTATAGTTTTGATAAAATTAGGGGTCTCACGAACATGCCTATGGTGTTGGTAACGATAAAGATTGGTATAAACACTATGTTTGTGAGGCCCATATATTTGTTTTTTTTAAGGATATCTGCCTTTTTGATGGCAGAAAATGGGAAGCCGGAAAATAAATCTCCGGAAATTTATTGCCCAGAAGATTACTCCATGGAAAAAAAATCCTCATGAAAAAAATTCCCCGAAAAAAAATCCCCTTGGAAAATAATTCCCCAGAAAATAATTCCTTTTTTTGATCTTATAAATTATTTTTAGAAAATTAACAAAATAGGAAGAAAAAAAATTCACAAATAAAAAATTTTTGAGAAAATCAACAAAACAAAAAAAAATTCCTGCATAATTTTTCCAAATAAAATTGTTTAACAAAATCATGAATATAACTAGTGATTAATATTAAACCTAATCAAATTTTTATTATTATTAATAACCAATATAATGTATAATGTTATAGACTTATCCCAAACCCAAGTTTGGTATAAATTAAACAAAACAATATTTATAAAATAAACGAATTGGATACCTAGTCTCTGTGATATTAAACAAAATATTATTTTATGCTAAGTAATGTTAATGGCCAGACCAGATTTTTTATTTTGGCCAGGATTTATAAATTCATACCATTTTTTGACCCAGATCCGGACTACATTAATATAAATCAAAATGTTTTTTAAATTAACTCGAAAATTTAGATTTCAATAATAAAACGAAAGTTAAATAAATCTAGTTCACTTTACACATTTTCATCAACTTTTAGATATTTATTGAAAATTAAATTTTATTTTAAAAAAATATTTATTTTTACACAAATTGTTAAACATTTCCATGAAGTTTTTAGAAATATATTAAAAATTTTAATCAGTTGGAGATAAGAGGCTTTTTTGCCTTCAAAATAGTTGGCCAATTTTCAATTGGTATACATTTTTTGATAATTTTTAGAATATTGTGTTCAATGTCACAAATTTGATATTTGTCATTAGTTGGCACTTTTACTAACTCTTAAATTGCCCTTTTTTATTTTTAACGCTAATGATGGGCTATTAAATGATATAATTATATAAACAAATTCAGTGGAGAAATAGGAAATTTGCAATTCAACCTGGTCTTCTCTATTTGATAAAAATTATTTTACTGAAGTATTTAATGCCTACTATAAGAATTTAACTTCCCGCCCCCCTCTTCCTGGTAAATATAATGTGGTTATATGATCTGTTTTCATAATATCTATTGAAATCTAAATGAAAAGAAGATTATGGAAATATCTTCCCTCTTTCTAAGAAAAAATTTGTTTTCACTTTTTACTTCCATCATTTTTATGTATTTCTATAAAATTCTATCATGTTTTCTTTCCAAGATGTCACAAATCTATACTTTTTACGCTATCTACTAAATTATAAAGTATCAAAGCTACCAATCGATATATCATTTCTCATATTTTAAGATTGCCTTTATATCGCTTAAAATTAAAACAAAAATAATGCACAAGAAAAATCAAACGTAGAAAATAACGTTCAGAAATACTGAATATAAAATTTTAGAAATATTTTCGTTATTTTAGAGGTGGGGTGGGTTATTTTTGATAATTTTAAAAAAATTATTGGATAAATTTTTTTCCGGTTTTGATATTCAGGAATTTATTTTCCCTAAATTTAATTTAAAATCTAAAAAATGATTTAATTTAAAATCTAATAATGGGGAATTTATTTCCGGGGAATAATTTTACCATGATAATTTTGTTTCCGGATTATTTTCCTAGGATATTTTTCCCGGGGAATTATCTTCCAGAGGATATTTTTACCTGGGGAATTATTTTCCAAAGGATTATTTTCCGGGGAACTGGGAAATTTTTTCCCGAGATTCGGGGATTTTTTCCCAGGGAATTATTTTCCGCTTACCGTCAGTGAGACCGCTCGTCAAGGGGATAAGGAATATATGTCAGTGTGAGACCATTCGTCAAAGGGATAAGTAATATACCATCCGGCGTAAAGCCTTTTCATTTGAAAGGCCAGCTGGTCTAAGAGTGGATGGTTACTAACTTTTTTAAGGGCAGCTAGGAGAATGTTGTTAATAGATTTATGGCGAGGTTACCGTCCACGGAAAAACTTGTAGTGCAAGGAATGGTAGGTATTCAATTCGATAGACTGGCCGCAATCGATGCAAATGGAGGGTACAACTGCACTATAGCATCGATATGCGTTAGCCGAGATTAGAACTGGCTATGGCTTCCAATCATTCATAGCCAGAGTTTGCATTTAATATTATGTTATTTGGGTTTTCCTCAAAGCGCCTGTTCAAAATGAGTTATTCAAGGGAACATGCGATCAAAGGAGTATCCTAGTCTTTTTGAATGCTGGACCGCAGGCTGTTGCTGTCCCAAAAGATAAGGTCCTGAGATAGGTCGGGATCTATAGAAATTGATAAATTATTGATGATAACTTGAGAGGTTAGATGAGATGAAATAAAGTCTGAAAGAGAAGTTAGTAGTGGAGATCGGATACCGATATCACCTGATTTGCTGAGGAATGTGACCTGAAGCTAGGATAAGGAAAATTTTATGTTTAAATATATTTTAGAGAAGACCCTTGATTTGGGTTTCATGAAAAACTAGCAAATCGCTGCATTTATAGATCAGTGTCGATCTCAAGGTGTAGAGGATTGTGGGAATATTAAAATAGTTTTTTAATTTAAAAAAAAGTATTAATGGAAGGTAATTAAATAATATGCTAAATACAGACAAATTGCTTAGGGATTTGTTTAGAAAGTTTCGATAGATATTTCTCCCCCAATGTGTGATCCAAGATGTGTCATATCATCCCTGTTGATGACATGGTAGGTAGTGTTTAATGGAATGGATGGATGAATGATTCAGGAAATATCTCACACTTAAGGTGATTGAGTAAAGGTTTGTAATATGTGAGTTTCTCAATAATGGGAGAGATATATAAAAATATGGAAAGCTTGCCCGCAACGATGGCATCAACGAGATACAAGGAATTTAAGGTGAGGTTAAAGTTAAATTTCCTTAATTATTTTGTAGATATCAATGTAGAAGAGGGCATGACCTAATCTCCTTGTCGAATTTCCTCTTGAATTTAATTATTGTATTCTAAAAAGTTTGGTTTTGGCTGTGATAAATGTATGATGTGGATTCTAGATATATGTTACAAAATAAAGGAACAAAGTGTAGTCGTTTTATAGTATTGAAAGCATTGTTAAAATTATTTTAAAAAAGTCGCAAGCTGCAAACTAAAAAACAATTAAGTTGAAGTATTTATAATAAATCCGAAATTTACTCTATGGCCTAATGGGTTAGATGTATGCTTGGAAACAGAAGGACGCAGGTTCAATCCTGGTAAGGAGCATTAAAACTTTCAGGTTTTTCTTCGATGACTGATGTGATGAATTTCGGAGCTTAGAGATGACACCCTGGTCACCGACAGGCCTGGACAGCGGGGTGCTAAGGATACTTATCCATTAAACAAAATGAAGGAAACAAATGAAAATATGAAAATGAAAGCTAGGGCGTTCCCTCCAAGCGACGCGGGATGTAGACCTCCATCCTGCGAAAAGTAAAATAAAGGTCAAAGCAAAGAAGACAAGGTTAGCAAGTTTGAATATTGGGACACTTAAAGGTAAAACGAAAGAATTGGCATCAATGTTGAACAAGAGAAAAGTTGATATAGCGTGCATACAAGAGACGAAATGGAAAGGTCAGAAGACTTTAATGATTGGAGATGGGTATAAATTATGTAATTGTTAGCAATAGGAATGGTGTAGGCATCATCCTCAGTCAAGATCTAACCTCCTCAGTAGTAGAAGTCAAGAGGATCTCTGATAGACTAATGAAGATAAAACTCTGCATTGTTCAATCAATACTACACATCCTTTCAGTATATGCTCCTCAAACGGGTTGCAAGGAAGAAGAGAAAGATGATTTTAGAGCTATCCTTGATGAAGCTGTAATGGAAATCCGTAAGGATGACCTAGTCATAATTGGTGGTGACTTAAATACGCACGTGGGGAAAGCAAGAGATAGCTACAAAAGGCATCATGGTGGTTTTGGATATGGAGAAAGAAGATGAAGGAGAGCATGTACTGAAATTTGGGCAAGCCCACGACCTTGCCTTAACCAACACCTACTATAGGAAAAAAGACAGTCATCTAATAACATATGAAAGTGGTACAAGGAAAGCACAGATAGATTACATGCTAATCTCTCGCAGAAGATTAAAAGATATAATAGACTGCAAAGTCAACCCAGGAGAAGATATCGCAGCACAACACAAGCCACTAGTCATGGATTTACACATCGCAAATAAATCCACTCAAAAAAAGATAAAACTGGAAGCATGCATCAAATGGTGTAAATTAAAAACAATGACAGATGCCTTTGCAATCAATGCAAACATTGAAACAATAGAATCCTCACAAGTCAGTGAAAAAATGTGGACACTTTCATCCAGATTAATAGACACTGCCAAATCAACACTAGGCTTGACAAGGGGAGGTAACAAATCATACAAAGAACTATGGTGGTGGAATGAAGAGGTACAAACCACTATACAGGAGAAAAAAGCCCTTTATAAAATATGATACAAATCCAAAAACTCAGATGACAAGACAAGATACAAAAAATCCAAGAGAATAGCTACAAAGGCGGTGGCTAAGGCCAAATCTATGGCATACGATGACATGTATGAAGAACTACATACCAAAGAAGGGGAAAAATATACAGATTAGCCAAACAGCGAGAAAAGAATTCTAGGGATATAAACGGAGCTCCGAAAATAATCAAAAACAAAGATGGGAAATTGATAATAAAGGAAAAAGGAATTATGAATAGATGGAAAAAATATTTTTAGGAGCTTCTCAACTTTAATCCCCACATACTACATCTAGATGAACACTCCCCATGTCAAAACCTTGTACAACCAATAACAGAACAAGAAATAATCACATGCCTCAAGCCTATGAAAAACAACAAAGCTAGGGGTCCAGATAATATTCCAATAGAAAGCCTTAAAGCACTAGAAGATGATGGAATACATTTCCTCACAAATCTATACAATAAAATACTTGGAAATGAAGAGGTTCCTCAAAAATGAAGGCAGAGCTATCTAGTTCCTATCTTCAAAAATAAAGGGGATCCACACAATTGTCAAAATTACAGGGGCATAAAACTAATGTCACACTGTCTAAAACTATACGAAAAAATAATAGAAAAAAAATTTAGAGACATAATCGAAATAGGAGAGACTCAGTTTGGCTTTATGCCTGGAAGATCAACAACTGATGCTATCCACGCAATTAGGCAAATGAGTGAAAAATACAGAGAAAAGAACAAAAAACTACACATGGTCTTTCTCGATCTAGAAAAGGCTTTCGATAGAATCCCAAGAAAACTTATCTGGTGGGCGGTACGCCACAAAAAGGTTCCCGAAAAATATATAAGAATAATACAGGATATGTATACGGGCCATACAACAATGGTCCGTAGCACAACAGGTACTTCAGCAGGCTTAACAAAAGCCGAAGGAGTTCATCAAAGGTCGGCTCTCAGCCCACTTCTCTTCATTACAGTAATAGATGTATTAGCACAGTCTATACCTCAAGCAGTCCCGTGGAATATGATATTTGCAGATGATATTGTGATACTTGCAGAATCCAAGGATGAAATGAAAGAAAGATTAGTGAGTTGGATAAATATCCTAGAAAAGCACGGACTAAAAGTAAATAGAGAAAAGACTGGGCTCCACTATACAAACAAACGGCACAATAGAAAAAGAGATAAAGAGTCAAATTAATCAAGGGTGGTTAAAGTGGAGATCTCTATCTGGAGTGATTCTCACACAAATTAAAGGGAAAAATCTACAGTTCCATAAACCAACTATTCTATATAGTTCGGAAACATGGCCAACTATTCTATAGTTCGGAAACATGGCCAACCAAGTAATCAGAGAGAAGTCTACAAACTATGGAGATGAGAATGCTGAGGATGATTGCTGGGGTAACAAGAAAGGATAAAGTGTGCAGTACAAGAATACTAAGTAGTTTAACCCTTTAGGTTCCCTCATAAAATTAATATGATGCAACACGATATTTACTAATTTTTTTATTGATTCTAATATAATATAATATAAAACACACAAAAAAAGTTTTTTAAATTCAAAATGGCGGCTCTCCCTGGTGGTTTTAAATTCATATCATTGACACCTTATGGAAACTTTCAAAACAATTTCTATTTTTATTTAGACAGAGTGGTACGTTGCATGATTTGCACGACCACCTTGTTCTTCTGGGATTTAACTTTGTACTACAGAAGGTACACCTTCGTGAGGTTCCTGCCTGAGGTTGATGAGCTGAATTTTTTAGTCTAATTTCTGGAAGGATATAAGGTTTATTATTTTTTCTTTGCATTGATATATAATTATTATCATTATGAATATTATCATCCCTATTAACATTTTTACAGTATGCCAATTCGCTAGCAATTATTTGTCTTCGGAATTCTTTCGATGAGAGTTTATTATCTGTAAGAATATTGTATATTATGAATGAATTGATAATCGCCGCATCTATCAGCCAAAAGAATATTGGTAGCCACCATTTTCGCCACTTTCGCGAAATTTCATATAAAGACTTTAAATGGTCGAAATGGTCAACAGACCCCATATATTTATTATACATCTTTATCATTATTGGACATTTTACGTCAAAAACTTCCCCTTTTTTATTTTTTCTCTTCACAGTATCCACTGATCTCGGATCAATATAATTGGACATTATAAATACGTCACGATTATCTCGCCATTTAATTATACTTATATTATTTTTGTCACTTCTCCAGTCAAACTCACCTCTTTTTAATTTTGTTTCCATATTCTTTATGGGCAAGTATCTCCTATTTTTGTTTAGTGTTCCGCTAGCATATATACCTTTCTTTTTTAAATCGGCCATTAGAGTATAACTCGTAAAATAATTATCGAAAAATATTTTATGATTTTGAAGTCCTTCACAAAACTTTGTTACAACATTATAACCAAGATTACTTTCAACCTCTTTATTTTTCCCAACATAGATATTAAAATCATTCATATATCCTGAATTATCGCATCTCATCCAAACCTAAAAATATAGTTTAGCCGAAATAAATAATGACAAAATTTACACATTACCTTGAAACCGCGTTTCGTGGGTTTCTTAGGCATGTATTGCCTAAATCCTATACGGCCTTTGAACCTAATCATTCCTTCGTCAATTGCTTGATATTCCGAGGAAAGAAAATATTTCAAGCAAGAGGAACGGATATTATCAATGAATGGTCTTATTTTGTATAATTTATCATAATTTTCATCATTTCTCGATGGTTCTAAGATATTGTCATTTATATGGATGTGGGCCATAAGCCAAATAAAACGTTTTACTTTCATTATGGATGAAACAAAATTGTCATGGAATTCTGGTTTAGAACTCCAATAATCTTTGTAATTTGCCATAGTTTTAATTCCAAAGAGTATATGAAGACATAAAAATTTTCTTATTTCTGTAGGATTAGTTGGTTGATATTTAATATTTTTTTGTTGGGCATATAAATTGGTATTGAATGTAATTGTATTTATTAGAGAATCATTAATAAATTTCTTATATAAATCTGATGGATACAATGGGTCCGTTTTTAAAGATGATATTGGACCTGATATTTTATCAAATTCTAATGCTGGTTGTGAAGAATATTTCTTGGACCAGATAGGATTATTATGGTTTGTAGCAGATTGATCATACGCATCTTGTTCAGAATTGTCATCAATTTCAATTTGATAAGGTGTATCCGATTCATAATCATCACTATCAATTTGGTAACGTGTATCCGATTCATAATCATCTTCGGAATCATTGGATGAGTTGTCTAACGAAGAACCTTCAGATGGAATGTCCAGATAATCATCCATATATATAACAAGCTAAAATTATTGCGAAATGAGTTGGCAAAATTTATCAATTATTTAAAAAAATAAATATTAAAAATATTGTTGTTAAGTGGCAGTGGTTAGTTTAATATACCACATTAAAAAGATCAAAATAATATATAAATATTATTTATTTGAGCAAAAATAAATATTAGAAAGATAGATAAAATAGTGAGGAATATATATATTTAAAAATATTTGATAAATATACTTACTTATAATTAAAATTGGAATTTTAAGAAAAATCACCGTAAAAAACGTATTTTGAAATAAAGGCGCGAAAAAAAAAATTAAAAAATAACTCCTCCACAAACATATGAAAAAGAATATCTTTTAATATATATTCGTGGTGGTTTCATTTTATATGATCAACTCCTTTAGAAGATATAAAGGTTAAAAGGTGGTTTTATATTTGCACTACCGCGACCGAAAGGGTTAAAGGTAGTGCCCATTAAGACTAAGTTAATGGTAAACAGACTTAGGTGGTATGGGCACACAATGAGAAGGCCTATGAACTAGAAATAAGGTTGAGAGTTTGGAAGTGATGGGCAAACGTAAAAGAGTAAAGCCAAAACTTCAATGGGGCCATAAAGTTAGAGCCAATATAAAGAAGTATAAATTAGATAAAAGAGATTGTATGAATAACATAAAGTGGAGACAGATGATGAAGGAGTTACCACCAGAAAAGGTGAAAGCTAAAGAGAGAAAAAAATTAAATATAACCAAAAGGTCATTTCATGACAGAATGTTTTGTCTGGAAATGCCCTCTAATGGAGTATTTAGTCCAACTTAGAAATTCATAAACTTTACGGTAATCAGTTTTACTATAAAATTCAGAAAACAATATATAAATCGGGAAGACACTTGCGAATAAATTCAGTTGACAAAAGTTTGGATAAATTTAATGCTTCAAAAAATAAAATAATGTTATTCATATTAGAATTATATGTACAAGTTGAGAAAAAGGCATGAAGTAGCATTATTATTAAGCTGCTTGTTAATATAATTTATATTTCAAGCTTTTCAAATTTCGATGCTATGCAATTAAATTTATAGTTATTCAACGTATTCAATCTAGATAAAAAAAATTGTATATAATTTTACAAATGTATGTATATGGTAAAAAATTAGGACTTGATTTTCAACCAGAAGAGCAGCTTGATGGTGAAATCTAGTGGGTCCAAAAAGGGTTATTACGTCATTTTTTCCATCTCCATCTTCGTTCATCATGGCATGCGTTCTATTCGCATTTGAAGCGGTAGGTATAAGTATCAAAACACCAGTTTTCCTAAGGACATTTTGTATGAAACTTCCTCTGTTTCCACATATGTATTTGTGTTTGCATCGATCTATTTTGAGTTCTGATTTAGTGCAGCTGATAATCTGGTGTATTAAATAAATGAAAGAAGTGCATAAAAACTAATGGTATCCCAAAGAACATGGTGTAGCAGTTTTTTTTAACCTATACCAGTCGATACTAAAATTTAGTCAACATTATACTAAGAATTTTATTTTAATTTAAACATTTATTCAAATATTAAAAATAAAATATAAAAAATATGTAAACCATTATAAGCTTAACATTTATATAAAAACTATAGTAAATTTAAAAAACATTTTAAAAAATATATAAGACGGGGAAAAAATAAATCTTTAAAAAAGAAAAAAAGGGCTCTCATTTAGATCGATGAAACTAAGAGTAAGATAGTTACCTCAAATACAGCAACTTGAGAATTATAAAATTTTAAAAGAGGATCCACGATCCCCATTGATTTGTGAATTTTTTTACCTAAAATCTTAAAAAAATGATAGGTTAGGGGCCTAAGGACCCATTGGTAGAAATTACTATTGGGATAAAAGAAATTTCAAAGGTCATATCGGGTAAATATTGGGGTTAGTAGAGACTGGTCTTTTCCCATCAGACAGGGACGAGTGAACGGGTTCTAGATTTGAATAATTAGCTAAGCCTAATTTATTCAAGATGCGACTGAATCGCTTTCTAGAATATAAAAAAACTAAACGATGTTTGCCTTTAAAATAGAACACTTTCCCGCACTCTTTGCATGTATGAGGTAGACGTAGGCAGTTGTCTAATTTATACCCAATAGTCACCCTAAACCTCTCATTTGATAGCAGAAGACCAAGAATGGCCCTTGGAAAAGCTTCAAGCCATTCATGACCCGAACTTCGTCCCAAATATATGAGGATACGAGTGTCAAGTTGATGGATTAATCCCTCACTAATTTCTTAAAGTTTATGAAAGTATCTTTGCTGTAGATTGTGGAAGAGATGAAAGACATAAATATTTCGCCTATAAGTCACAGGTAGTTTCAAATAGACTAGATCAATTTTTCATTATTATTATTAATGTTAATTTTATTTTTAGTTCTATTCATAATAATAATCTAAGAATTATTGATTTAAAAAATTTATCTCATTAAAAAAAATTAAATCGCTCAGCTATTAAATCGTATAGTATCGGAACCCACTGTGAATCCAGCTTAACTAGTTTATAAAAATAAAATAAAATTGTTTTTAATTCATCAAAAATTATAATAATTTTTATTTTAGCTGTATCGCACAATTCGAATCTAGTGTGCTTTAGTAATTAATTTAGGAGACTGGCCACGTTTATAGTAAGCACGTATCGCTAGATATTTGTCAAAGCAAAGTAAATAGGTAAAGGTTAGGGATAACTGCAATGCGATGAAATAAATTATATCGCTATAGATTTATAAAAATACTTAGCGATGCGTGTTGCATCGCTTGAGCGTTGCGCGCTTACTTCTATTTTTAAACAATGATAGAAAAACATTTCGTCAAAAATGAACATAATTTTACTCTTTTTGTTTTGTATTAAATAAAAAATAATTACATTTTGTTATTAGATATTAAATGATTTCATAGAGCTAAAAAAGAAACCGTAAAATGTTAATTGATATATTTTTTCTTAGTCTAAATTGTTGAATTTTTTAAAAATCCGGGCAGAGCTGATTTTTTTTACAACCCATTCCAGTCGTGCAATTGGCACCTCTTTAATCTTGATATTTTGTCTCACATGTAAAAATTTCTTGGAATCCAGCTGACACTCTGATTAATTATTAAGTATATAGTGGCATATTTTGACGTCGACCCTGGTTATATATTTACAGTTTAATCTGTCTACCTTTGGGATCTATAGGCAGATTACATATCACAACAATGTCACACCCTAGACAAAAAAAATGGCAACTCTCAATTGTTCATTTGATAAAAATTGTCAAGATTATGCCAAGGGAAAGCTTCCAACAAATCATTTCATCTGCTTTAGTCGTTGCCCCAAAAAATGAAGAGCTTCTAAAGGTGAGGGTAATTAGAATGACTGATTAAAATTTTGGATTAGCCAAAAAAAGTTTAAAATTATTATATTTGATGGGAATATGGTGTTAGGAGTGTAATATAAAAATTAATGTAAAGAAAACATTGTCAGTGATAAGTTAGATTTTTGGAAAATTTATCCTTTTAATTTATGTCGTTTTCCACATCTGGAATAAGATTTAAGGCAGCTATTATTACTTTTTGTAAAATAATTAAAATCTGCTTTGTTATAGTGTTTTAATTATTTTTCGATAGATATGAGGGAGATAGTTGGTACTGTGTAAATTAACCCATAACTCTTTATTTCGACGTCTGCCTAATATAACCTGTCCTAAATGAATTAATATAGTTGTAAACTATTTTTAAATAATTAAGTATTGTCGCATATTAGTTAAATATATTCGTATATTTCACAAACATCTAAAACTATACAGCTGCGATTTAAAATATTCACAAAGATCTTTATAGTTTTTTAAATATTTATATCAATATTCAAAAATATATTTTTTAAAGTGGAATTTTTAAAATAATTATTTTCCCAGTATTTACAATATAACTTCCTCATTGAAATTGTAAAATATATATACCATGTCTTGATAGAGGGAGTTAATAATTTCGCAAACAGAATCAACATCTTCGCGCAAACCAGATATCACGATTTCATCTCGAGCCGCATTCGCTGGAGGAATGTAAACGCGGACATCAGCCTGGGATTGTATTGAGTACAGTCTATCGCTCTCAGCGCCACGAATCAGAGGGTGAAATTCGCGAGACACATATAAGATTCGACGGGAACGTTTGCTCTGAAGAATTCATATATGTATATGAAGAGTTTGGTATAAGTTACGTGAAATTAGAATATATTGAAAATGAGGGATAAAAGAATATAAGGAATAAAAATATAATGTGAAATCAAAAGGTTATCACAAGAATTTTTTTTGGGAGGGGGGGGGGAATTGTATAAATTGGAAAATGTGAGATCATCGGCATACTTTTGAACATAAAAATAGAAATTCTCTCTAAGATGAAACCATACAAGGAATTGCTAGAAAGGATTAGGATAGAGGCGATTGGAGCGGTGATGAGAAGTAATAGACAAAGGTGATTTGGGAATGTTGAACGAAAGATGGTTTGGTAAAGAGATGCACCCTTTTGGAAGTAAGGGGATCATGGCCTCGAGGAAGATCCAAGATGCCGTGAAAAAAAGTGACAACGGATGATATGAGAAAAACGAATCTTATAAATAGAAAGGTTCAGTAAGGTAAAAATGGAGAGATGGAAAACTGACTTGCCCGGATAAACCGGAAAACCGCCATTAAACGGATAAGATAAAAATTCTTTAAATATTTAAAACCTATGAAACCAGCTATTTTAAAGTTTATACACCTATAATGGTAACTGGTTATATTAAAATATCGGTCAATCCGATACAAAATGTTAATATCGCGTGATCCGATGTTGATTATTAATATAATCTACAAACCTATTTTATTGATAGTAGACAATTTGGGATACTCTTTAAAGGATAATCATGAAGGGAGAGGGACGCTTTTTGAAAAAATATAAATCTTAAAAATAACAATGCATATTTTTTTTCTTTGAGAAAATAAGTTAATTAAAAGCATTTAATTTGGATATTATAGATTTTATTTCTTTCTTAATTTGGGAAAAAAATATTGCACACCAATTGATCGACTATATCCCTTATTTTGGCGGATGCTAACGAAACTCCTTCCTTATTGCCGTCTATTTTGACAAGAGTGGAATTGGAGTTTCTGGCAGGGATTGAGATTTTGACCCCTTTGCATTCTTTTTCGAGCAATATGACGGACTGGCCATTTTTGCCCCTCAAAACAGAGTGATATTCCTTGGGGATGTCCAAGACGGTGTTGGCCTGTCATATATTAAATAAATTATGAAGGCACATTTTTTAATAACAAGATAGAAATCAATTAATGTTGATACAAGACAAGGGAAAAAAACTATATTTATTTCCTATTAAAGAAATCTTACAATAATTTTTTATTATCATTTAATTATATATTTTGTATATAGATATCAACTCAATAATTTTTTACTCACTTTATAATTGAAATTTAACAAAAATTTTTACTCACTTTATAATTGAAATTTAACAATAGAATCCTAAATTTATACATACCTTATATATTTATAATATAATGATCAGACATACAGAGGTCACATTTGCACAGCCCGGCCCGGATTTTTTTTTAAAAATTAGGCCCGGCTATGAATTTTTTAAAAATAATATTACATTTATTTTTAAATTTTGTGGCGAATAATGGCGATTTAAAATATACGGTTTTAAAATATATCGGCCCTAATATTTTTTTTAAAAAAAAATTTCAGTTCCAGCCCTGGTATATTTAAAAAAATTAAAGGGGTTAGGGCCGGGACGGTAAGTTGATTATGATAAATAACTAATAATATTTGTGATTTATATCTATGCTTATTTTCAATAAATATATAGTATCAGTATTGGTGCTTTGCATCTCTGATCATAATATTATAATATAAAAAATTCTGTACAATTATTTATTTATTTGAATTTTGGGAGTTAAAATAGAAGGAAAATAACTTATAAATCTTTTTCAACTCTAATAATATAGTTAGACTTATAAGTATTTAACTATTTCTAAATAATTTTAAAATTTTAAAAATAAGTTTTTTAAATAAATTATATTTTGAAATCATCTGCTTCGGTATAAAGATTATTCAGTTTTGCAAATTTAATTAATAGTATTCAGTTATTTTTTTCCATTTTTAAATGTGATTTATTTGAAATTTTGTTTGTTTTTTAATTAAGTATTACATTACAATAAAAATTCATTTTATTGTGAAATTATGCTTAAAACTATACAATTCAAATTTTTGCAATTATAACATAATTTATGAAATTATAAAATTTATTTTGTTATAACAAAAATAAATAGATATCCTGCTGTATAAATATATTATTTAGATTGATATTTTTGAATATATTTTAATTTGTTATATATTTTTTTCGTTTGTAAATAAGATTATTTAACTTGTAAAAATTTATAATATATAAATGTGAAGATCTTAAAAAATAATAAAGTTTGTTATATAAAACTTAGTGTAACAGAAAAGATATTAAAATAATATTATATATATATATATATAACATTATCATTTTAAAAGCTAAAATTATATCAATATTTAAACAGCTAAAAAAAATATTTTGCAAATTATAGGCTGAACTAGGAGAGAAAAGGGAGTGTTTCGAAAAAACATTTGTAGTTCCCCTTTAGGATTTCGAATTAGATTTTTTGTTTAAGAGATAGGGACTTGTTTTTGACCCCTGTCCTTAATGCAATTCTTCTACCCAATTGATTTAAGAACTTTAGAGATAGGGGACCGGGGTTTCCCAGAACGCTAAAAATTAGGGGAATATATATAAATGAATTAGGGAGGAATCTATATTTATTAAACTTATTGATTTCCTGGAGTTTTAAGCGGTCGGTATTTCCGTTAGCCGGAAAGGAGGTAACACACGAGACATCCAAGACAAGTCTTTTGCCGCCGGGCCAAGACGTCAAAGACATGCCGTCGGGACGCTTACCGTTCGCATTTAGGAGACCTAATGGCTCCAAACTATTGGGGAAACCGGCCGAAATCAAGGCTTCCTCAGAAAACGGCCACTGACTTTGAGACAAGAAAAACAATGTCTAAAGAAGGGATCAACCTGTTTGCGACAGGCAGCACAGGTGTCCACAGAAGGGATAAGCCAACCAAGCCTATGGCCAATGGCAGTTTGAAACTCATCGTCGAGTAACGTTTACTTTTTACCAGTCGAAATCGCGTCTAGCTATTCATGGCCGTTAGAAAATTTTTTTGCGTTTCTAATCAGTTGAAGGTTAGTTAGATCGGGACACAGACAAAGATTTTCAAATGCGCATTGAAGCACAGGGACCAGGAAGCTCTTTAGATGACTGGAAACTAGCTGCTCGGATCCTTGGTTAGCTAGGGTAAGCCACTTATTCGAGATGAAAGAAAGCACGCAATTGTCATTAGGAAGGGGGGTGAAAATCGAAGACCACCTCGGTAAGCGGGCATAGAGGCGAAGGATCAATTAAAATCGGAATAATTTAAGACTAAAAGGGATTCGATAAAATGTTTAAATTTTAATTCTAAGGCCTTAAGGAGGGTGTTATACTGGAAAACTGGGGAAGATTTAAATATGTGTAAGAATTTCGGTAGGAAAAGACATTTAAGGTGAGGAAAAAGAATTAATGCCAGGGAAGATGAGGAAGATTCTTGAGTGAATTGAAAAGGGACTGAATCAATCTCTACATTGTAAACGATGTAGAGATAGATTCTTAAGACATACTCTCTACATTGCAAACGATGTAGAGGTAGATTCTTAAGACATATAAAATGTAACGACACTATATCTAGTGCCATAAAATCCGTTGGAATTATTTAACCCTTAGGTCGGCTGGATTTTGTAAAGCAGATAGTAAACGTCCCGTTAGTTAATCCAAAATTCTATGGAAGAATGTTAAGTTCTTAACTTGTGATTTTTTCTGTGTAGACCAACTCGCATCCAACTTAAACCATGATGTATTGTTGAAGCAGAACGAAGTAAATCTGCCTAGTATTCTCCTGTTTTTCCTACCAACCATTTATTCATACCAATAATTGCTACAACGTTAACTTCTTTTGGTATTCACGCTCTAGCCTTCTAAAGATATAGTGCATCGCATTACATTAAGACCGAAAATTCAAATGAAGGCTATTACCTAAGACAAAGAATAGTGGTTAACATAATTTGATCTAACCATATCAGTTTCCTATTCTCTGTTGATGGATAAAAATTAATTATTCCTTTATTTATTATAGCGTGTTATGATATTATTTTACTATTTTGTATCATTTCATATATTAGGAATTTAATAAAGATAATTTTACAATATAAAATATTTTATAAAATTAAATCGTGTTAAATAAAGCTATAACTAGGGCTGTGCCGATATTAAATATCGGATCGGATCGGCATCGATATATAGCGTTTTCCAAAAATATCTGAACGGGCCGATACCTGTAAAAACCGATCCGATCTTTTTACTTTTCTTTTTTGTTATTTTATGTATATTTATTTGACATTAATATTATATTCTAAATAATTTTTTTTTAAACAATGCAGATGCACAACACCCTTTAAATTTTATTTACTTTTTTAAATAGATTTATAGTATTTTAAAAGTTTTTATAAAAATAGAAAGGAACACCCAAAGTTTTTTTATTTTAATCTTTTTAAATAATAAAGTCAATTTTATTATTTATACTTAAAAGAATTTTTTTAAATATGGTATCTGAATTATGGAAATATTTTACAAAAAGACAAAGATAATTTTGCAAAATGCGTTATCTGCTTAATTCAAATTTCACGGGGAGGAATAATGAAAAATTCATTTAATACTACAGTATCCGTAAACTTTTTTAATTATTGTAGAAATAAAAAAATTAAATTAAATGCATAATTCGATTTTTTAAATAAAAAATATTGATTTCTTAATTACATTTGGTTCAAAGGGGAGTGGTGAAAAATCAATATAAATATTGGTATCGGATCGATTTCGAACCAATATCTAAAAATATCGGATCGGTGAAAAATATGTGGATCGGCACAGCCTTAGCTATAACCAAAAATTGATTTGTATTTTATTTATTTTTATAAGAGAAATTCAATTCATCAATAAATCAACCAAAGTCCTCTCCCCCTCTCAAGCACAAATACTTTTTTAAAATATTTGATAGCTTTTGATTTATATTATACATTAATTAAAAATATTAGAAATAGATTAATGATTAAAATGGCATATTTACTAAACTTGAGCTAGGCCCTACGTGAAAATTTGTATATTTATTAATTAATCTATAACTATATATTAAAAAATGCCAATTTGATCTTATAATCATTTCCGGTTATTGACATCTAAATTTTTAAAACAATATTTGACATTATGTTACTTTCATGGTCTGCTATTAAGCTACGTAAAGTAATTTAAATAAAGCTTGTAGTTTAATTATATCCAAAAATATCTAAAATTATAGGGAGTGCATTTTGCACTAAATGACATATAACATTTGGATGCCCATATCTCGAATTTGAGGGCTACAACTATGTTTTGTTAGTTATAATATATAAACTCTTGCAAAAATTTTAGATAAATCTGAGGGTGTGGGGTTGCAAATTAGAGGTCTGAATTGTACGGGTGGCCAGCTCATCTAAGTGGGTAAGCGGGCTAAAAATTTATAAGAACAGGCGGGCGGGTTAAAAATATTTTAAATTTTTATTATTTAAAATCAGAGATGAGAACCAGAACACAAACCCTGAACCCGAACTCTTGATATTTCGCTGCAAACCTGAACCCTTTTTTATAATTTAGGGTTCAGTGTACAAGATTTAAAAAAAAATTTTTATTATTTTATTTTAAACTTTCATTTTATTTATTTTAAATGATATGTTAAAAATAATATAATATAATATAATATAATATAAAAAACATGTAATTTACGATTTACATTAATAAAAATATTAATTTAAAAAAAACATTTTTTGATCATAAATTTTAAAAGTTTTTTTATAAATGATGATAATATATAATATCTATTTTAGGATATTGTTGTTTGTGGATTATTAAATTGATAGTAAGACAATGAGAAGTACAAAATGACGAATATATTATAATTATGATGGTAAATTATTTTTATGGCAATACTAATTAATATAAATTTTTAAAAAAATGATGTTTGTGTTATTTTAACTAATTATAATAAGTCATTATTTTTCTGGTCTCCGATCCCTGAATCCGAACAGGGTTCAGAGATTTTTTACTGAACCCAAACCCGAACCCATTTTTTTAGACCTGCTTAAAATCATTTAAGTAAATATTAATAAAAAATTGTTCTCATGAAATTTTTTGATATTGAAAATTAAAATGTCCTTTTTTGGTATCATTAAAATAAATATTTTTGTATATCAAAAATTAGAATTTCCTTTTATGGTAATATAATAAAACTTTTTTCATAAAATAAATATTCTTTTTATGATATTGAAAAAATAATATATAAAAAAAGAATGCCATGTGTGTCGAACTAAGAGGGAAAAGGGAGTGTTTCGAAGAAACGCTTGTAATTCCCTTTTAGAATTTCAAATTAAATTTTTTGTTTGAGGGAAAGGGACTTGTTTACTCCGTCATTTTGAAATTTTTTACACAATTGATTTTAAAATTTTAAGGATTGGGGACCGGGATTTCCCAGAACATTAAAAATTAAAGGGATAAAAATAAAAGAATTTAAAAGGAACCTAATTGTTGCATTTTTTGATTTCTTGGCGTTCCAAGAGGTCAGAATTTTTATTAGCGGGAAATAAGGTAACACATGGCACATCCCAGACAAGTCTTTTGCCGCCGAGCCAAGATGTTAAGGACATGCCATCGTGACGCTTACAACGGCTCCAAACTATTGGGGAAACCGGCTGAAATCAGAGATTTACCGTTCAACATATTTATATTGTCATGTCGCAAAAAACGGCCACTGACTTTAGGGTAAAGAGAAACAATGTCTAGAAATGGATCAACGTAAATATTGCAGGGAGCACAGGTGTCAACAGACGGGATAAGAACCTAGCCAATGGCAATTTGAAAATCATCGTTTGTGAGTAACATTTCCTTTTTTCCACTCAAGATTGTGTCTTCATGGCCGTTGGGATTTTTTTTGAGTTTCTGAGTAGTTGAAGGTTAGTTAGATCAGGACACAAACTAAGTTTTTCAAATGCACATTGAAGCATGAAAACAAGAAAGCTCTTTTGATGGCTGGAAAAGGGGGGTTTTGATCCTTAGAGAACTTGAGTAAGCCAAGATTGTTTAGCCGAAGTTAAAAGTGGATCTTTCAACTAGATAAGCGAGGAAATAGAGTTTAAGTATATCCGTGAAAACAAGCAATTGCCATTAAATTGGAGGATGAAAATCGAAGTCCTCCCTGGTAAGCAGGCAAAGAGACAAATGCCCAATTAAAATCAGAAAACTTTAGGACTAAAGAGAATTCGATAATAAATTTTAATTCGAAGGACTTATGGAGGGAATTACATGATGTGGAAGAATTTAGGTAAGAAAAGACACTTTTTGGTGAGGAAAAAAAACTTATGGTTGGGAAGATGAAGAAGATTTTTTAGCGAATTAAAGAGATTAAATTAAATTGTCAAAAAAATTTTGACAAAAGGAAGTTGAAAAGCCGATAGGAGAATCTAAACGACAGAGTTCTCGTAAGGAATGATTTTAAACTCTAGGGGAGAATCCTTCATGTTGCGGGAAGATATTTCACATTTTTTCTATATAAGGAAAGACCAGTTTTCGGAGCTTCCATTTCAATGTACTCGAAGGCTGACATAACATTGGGTAAAGATCCGCCAAAAGAACGATCTAGAGATACCATAAATTAAGTTCTAATTTGAAATCAGGATATCAATTTTTGATCAAATCATGAATACTTATAGTAAAGAGCAAAGGACCTTGTGGATCATTTTGCGGAATATCCTTTTCAAGGGATGTGGAAAATTCCCCGAATTTGAGTAACCAGGGAAATCCATAGCAGGAATTAAGTAAATTCTAATATTTGGGGAAATTTTGTAAGGGGTAAAAATGAGCTCCTATGAATGCTGTTGAAGGCATTTTTGAAGTCTAACTTGCAGAAAACCTTATCCGCCTTTATAAAAATATGCGATACATGTGAGGTCATTTCGCACCCATCTCTAAATCTAA